AGGGAAGGCGTGCTTGCAAGCCGGCGGGTGGTTAGCCCACAAAGCGAACGGAACTTGAGTGGCGGGGGTGGCCGCAGGTGCACCATCCACCAACCATGATCTGCTGTGGGAACGAGCGTGGAAATATGTGTTGGGCCCCATAAAAGGTGGATCTTTACCAGGGCAAGGCCGCGGTGTGGCTCAGTTTCGCCTGGAACCCTCCCCCACTTTGGTTTTCAAGGCCCCCAATTGTTCCTTGTTATTTCCACCAAGGCCTGTGATTGGGGCATGCTGCACTTCGGGTCATGTTCAGGGTCTGCAGCAGGCCGCGCCACTGGCATTGCGGCCGTCGACCGTGTGGGGCCTGCCCATTACGGACTTGAGGCGGTAGAGGACTCCACTAGAGCGAAGCGGGGGAGGGTCGGCGTAGCGAAGCTCAGCAGCGATACTGCCGTGTGATTCGGCTGTCGGACTCGAACGTAGGGGCGGAGGACTTGAAACCGTCTGGCGGATGATGCCCTTCGTAGTCTTCGATCAGAAAAGGGGATCATCGGGCAGGTCGTGGTGTTGGGCGCTATCGGACACGGGAGGCGAGTGGCGGAGTCTATCAGCCGAGAAGGACCGGGCCACGGTGACCGCTAGGCGCTACGTGAACAGCAGCAGGCGAGGCGAAGCAGCGAAACAACAGGCGATGACGCAGTGAAGAAGGGGGAGTAAAAGAACCTGGCGCGAATTCGCGCCGGGTGTAGTCGAAGTTTGAGAAGACAACCGAGGGAGTTATGTTCGAACTGAAGGAGACTTAACTCGCCCGTTCCTTAACGAAATCGGGCGAAGTACAGGCCGAGTTTGGGGTTTTGACCTAGGGCGAATTGAATGATGATGTCAGTTTTAGAAGAAACGTAGTGAAATGAGAGGTAAGTGAGGAAGGTCGTACGGGGAGATGGCGGGAGGTGAAGAAGAAGAGAGATGAGAGATAGTGATCCCGCCCGTTTCTTAGCGAAAACGGGCGAAGGAGGAGGTAAAGTGGGGGTTTCGGGCCATGGCCACCCCGAATCTGAAGTTAGAAATAACATTAGATTAGTAAAAGAAAAGTTAGTAGAAAGTGAGACTGCGCGGGGGTGTCGAGATGTGATGGGGATGGCAGAGATGAGAAACGGGATCTCGCTCGATTCATGATGGAATCGAGCGAGCTCGAGGGTTAGTTGGGGTTTTTCGACCATGGTGGGTCTAATGGTATTGTCAGCATTAAGAGTTAGTGGTTAGTTTTTGCGCACCGTAAATCCCAGGCTGCGCGGTGTGCTATAAGAGGGGAGCGGGCGAGCGCAAAATCGAGCATGCACCTTTCCACGTCTAGCGAAAGATTCATTCGAATGTTGTTTATCCTATCTCGTAGAGAGAGGGAGACGAGAGAAAAGGGGAGAAGGTAGAATGTACTTACCTTATAACAACGCACAAGGTAAAAGTTCATGGTGGTGGGGCTTCTACTTACATTCACTCTCGTAATAGATGGTAACCCCGCTGCCTGTTTCCCTAGGCCGATGTACCTAGTCGTACTCCGACGAGAGACTCGTTTTCGAATTACACAAGCGGAAAGTAGCGGCGTGCACCAGTAAGGTCCCACATGAGCCGGAGTACGCACCTGGTTGCATAAGTAGCTTTATAAGGGTGGTCTTGGTCCAACGCCTCGCACATACTGGAACCAAAATTATATAATTTGGTTATATTTTACTACTATATTATTTATGAACTAGCTAGTCAGATAGGGTTCCATAAGTTTAGGTGGTCTGACTATAGCTTATCACCAACTGAAGAGAGTATTAATTAAGAATAAACTTGTGGTAAGAAGGGGCAAGCTGAACCTCGATCTAAGTTAATCGGTTCAGTCATATGCTACCTTATAAGACTAAGTGCAGACAATGATATAAAGTTGTGATACTTAAACAGTTCAGGGCGGCTAGGGTGACCTAGTCATATGCCCAAAGAAAAGAAAAGTTGTTGTGCCCTGTGTTTGTGTATATTCCATGGCTGAGCTAGATATGTTCCATAAGTTTGGGTGGTCCAGCCTTATGCCTTATGTAAGCTGGGTATAAAGGGATAGATCAGTGAAAGACTACGAATTATTGTTTGATAAATTTGACTTTGGGGATGGTGATAGTACTTACCTTTGTGGTTTGGCCTGCATGTGACTGAGTGAGGCTACTACTTAGTATGAGTTTCAGTTTGACAGGTAGTTGCTTTAGTTGCTCGCCACATGCTAGAGCGATGGGAGTTAGTTCAATTTCTGCATTTTCTGAGCTGACTTTATTTTTACTTAGGTCAATTTCTGCATTTTCTGAGATCATTTGTTATACTTGGCTTTGTATAAAATTTGGGACGCTACTTTCTCTACGGGAAGCGTTGTCGAAATTTCTACAAATCTAAGGAGTTAGTCAACTTGACTTTTCAAAGTTCAATTTGTCTAAATTTTATATGGTTTGGTAAAAATCTGGGAATTCTCATTTTCTAAAGGGAGTGCTGCCCAATTTTTTGCTAATTTAGGGAGTTAGACAAAATTCGACTTTGGAAAGTCGAAGACTATTTCTGTTTTCATATTCGGATTGATATAAATTCTGAAAAGACATTTTTCCTACGGGAAGCGCTGCCGAAATTTTCTTAGTTTGAAGGAGTTAGATTATATTTTGACAGATGACAATTTTAACAATCCACTCTGTATAGGGGAGTTTTTGGGAAGTCTAATTTTCTATGGCTTAGTAAAAATCTGGGAAGTCTCATTTTCTTTGGCATTTGCTTAGAGGTAGGATTAGGCTTAGTTAAATAGGATGATTTGAGTGAGATCGTGATATGAAGATTATTCTCCATGAACTTATAGACTTAGCTTGGGATTGGTCTGTCTTGTGTCACAGGTCTTCTTGATCGATTGATTCAGGATTTTGGATAGTTTCAGCTTTGATCCTATGAGGATCATTTTCTGTTATCACTAATAACAGGTGGGTTGCCGATTCGTCGGTTTACGATTCAACTCCAATTCACTCCTGCCACTGAACCTAAAAGCTTTAGCCTCGTGATTTGAATTGTTTTGTTGTGTTTTCACCCGGACTTTATTTTGAATGGTCATTTAAAGAAAAATACTGAGTATTTTATTTTGAGGAGTTGCACAAAAGTGAGGTTTGTATGACTAAAAGCAAGGGGTGTGAGTGTAGAGAATGATTGAAGTTGACCTCGTGCACTGCATTAACTTTTTGGTTGAATCTATGATGTGATTGCAGGTATGTTTGGTGATTCGGACTTTGGAATTGACTGTCTGCGCTCACATACACATATATATGGCTGAGAGGAGACTCATTGTGACTGTGAGAAGTGATCGTCCTATATTAATAACCCTCTATACTTATATGATATATATATGTCTTGAGTGTTTTCGCGCGGTCTACTGGGACCACGCGTAAGGGTTAAACAGATCGTGCGTTTGAGAGGAGGGGGGGATCCCCTGTTATCCTTTGTTTTTTAGAGTTTCATGGTTGGACGTTGTAGTCTGTGACAGCTGTCAAAGTCAAACCCCTTGACTTACCTCCAGACCCTAGATGATGGAGCTTGTCTCCATGGCAATAAGAGACGATTGCCACCACATGTATGAACCTGTGTACCACCCACTCTCCACAGGGTGCAGAAGAGCGTGTGGTTCTCAACCGCACTTGGCGGTTGTCCAGCGTCGAGAGATTAACCCTCAAGGCGCGTGTCATCCGACACTTGAGTGTCGAACTCGACCCTCGAGATTAACGAGGATCGCGTGAGTATGGGTACTACATAGTACGCCATCACCGCGACCACTTGCGTACGCTTGCATTGCTAGTCGATATGAGTAGGCCCTGCATCCGCGAGGTTTTATACTAAGTCTCGCGCGTGACGCCTATCCGATTTCCCCATCAGAGAGTTATGGGATGACTACTGAAGGGACTAGGAGTGTTGTCGCGTTGTTGGTTGTGTGCGTTGTTTTTATGTGTGTGTTTTATTTTTGTGTTTGTAGAGTGGTGTGAGCGTGGTGAGTGGGATACGTCCTAGTCGACCGAGGACGGGCCTCGCTTGGGACTTCAACCTCCCCAGTGCGTCGGTTCACATGCGGGTCCGATAAAGGCGTATTACCGTGCGTACCAACGAAAAAAATTCCCATAATTAAATAATCATTCTATTATAAAATTACAATCTAAATTTTAAATTTTCATTCCATCTTAAAAAATGTCATTCCAATTTTAAAATTTTCATCTTACTTCCAAACTTTCATTCCAAAAATAGGGTATCCTTCTTATTTGGACTGCATGCTAGAGATGGAATGAAAGTCTGGATGAGTTCATGAAATATTTTAATTGGACTGTCATTCTAAGTAAGGATTTTCAGTCACAAATAGGTTAATCCAATCTAAATTAGAAGATATTTGTTGTAGTAGAATAAAAATTCAATTAAAAAATTTCATAAACTCATCCAGACTTTCATTACATCTTGAACAAATAGATGTAGTTGGAAGGGAAAACTCATTTTTAGACGGGAACTTATCAAATAAAACTGGAAATTTTAGAATTGGACGAACTTTGGAATGATAATTTATAAACATGAAGGATTTTTTTTTTATGGAATGTTTTTTCAACTTTCATTTCTCGTGGGAATTTTTCTGTTGACCCCCTATGATACAGCGAACGAGAAACGCCCTCGGCTGGTCCACCTCTTCGATTGCAGCTGATTAGCTTTCGTACTGTGGACTGGCAGCTTGGCGGGGATACGCCCACCGAAGGGAGGTGACAACTCCCATAAGGTGGAGGTAAGTCGTGCCTCGCGTAGGCCCTACCCTGTCGTAGGGGCTCGCGAGAGGTATGGCTGGCGCACTCGGCCGGAACAGCTTGCGGAAACTCCATATATATTCGCGACAAGGATTAAAGACCAACTCCTGCGTGACGCAGCCGGGGAGTCCCGCGCTGCCCTGTGCTGTGCCGGACCGATGCGCTCGACAACGCGCATTAGACCCGGATAAGTGCAGGGAAACAGGCTCGGGGATGTGGCAGAAGGGCATTAGGCAGTAGGACAAACCTGATCTCAGGAGCTTAAGAAAGGTATGGAACGTGGACAGACCCTACCTTAAGTGTAAATGCAAGAAAGAGAAGAACAGAGACTGCGGGGATACCCCACTATGGTTCGATTACGTCATATGGATCTTGTTAGCACATCCAGACATTCTTTTTCCGGACATGTCCTCGATGAAGGTTAGAACTTCGATGCTTATCCACTACCCAAGGACCACGTGGAGAGATGGGGTGCTTGCTGCCATCAGCTTTCACTTCCTCAGGGACATGATAATGGGTTACGTCAAGGAACTTGATGGCGACGCCACGCTGAACGCGGAAGGCGTTCTAAAAGAAGATCGCCTTTAGAGCTATCCGATACCCGCAATACTTGCGCGGGTGATGCTCCCCACGCGGATCCCCGAGAGACCAACAAGGATCCCACTTAGTTCCCCACGAGCTGCGGCACGGAAAAGGGGCAAGGATGTGCAGATACCGGGTCAGGCGACTCTTAACTTCCGTAGGATTTCGCCCGTGACCAATGTCCCACCTCTCGCTGCTTCTTCTCCTCCCTCTCCCCCTCCCCCTCGTCCTCCCCCTCCGCCTCATGACCAGTCCCCTCCTGTTGCTGCCTCTGCTTCCTCCTCCCCCTCCTCCTCCTCTTCCCAGTCCCCTCCATCTACAACCGACTACAGTGGCCAGGGATGCCAGGCGGACGGGAGACATGACTCACCTATGCGGGACGCACATCGCCGCTTCGTCTCGGACGACGAAATCCTCGATACCCCCCTCCCCCCTTCCCCCTCCTGCGCAACCATTCGTGGTAATTAGGGGTCTCACCCCTCCTCCGGTCATCCTCCTCTCCCCGGAGGCTTCCGCACAATCGGCACTGACCCACAACGGAAGAAAAAAGACAAAGAACGTGGGTAAAAGGGGTGGAAGGGGTGCTGGTACTGTCTCCTATGGGAAACGCCCTGCGCGAGCATAATTAACCCAATCTGATGAAGATGGGTGACTTTTTTTCTTTTCTCTTTTTTTTTTTTTTTTTTTTTTTTTTTTTTTTTTTTTTTTTTTTTTTTTTTTTTTTTTTTTTTTTTTTTTTTTTTTTTTTTTTGTCCTTTCTTCAAAAAAAACTTCTCTTCCGATTTTGTTTTACTGTTCTTATTTTCCTCCCTTTCGTTATTTCACTCCCCTCCTTCTTCTGGCCTCTTTTTCGTCACACCTGACGCACTCCATGTCCTGTTCTTGTGACATTCCGGGCGCAAGATCCAAAAGGCTACATCAGCGCCCCAGGGCAGCTGATCACCCTACCAAGCGACAGGAGGTCTTGGAGTAGGCAGAGGCCGGAGTGTGATAACTTCCTACATGTAAGGTGTACCAGCCGAGTGATGGAACCACTAGCTATCAGGAGAATGATAAATGAAGTCCTGACGAGGGTGCTCGGAGATGAGACGACGACCTGGCTGGAGCGTACTAGGATCGGATGAACCTACAACTGCGCAATTGCTTCTAGGTTGTGCAGACCTGCGGAGGTGTTTTGCAGATTTGACGTCACACTGTGGATGGAGAGCTATGATCCAGAGCAATGTCCGTGTAGATCGCGAAGGTACCAGGACATGCGCAGCAACACCTCCATCGAGTTGCTCCAGAACGAAGGGTGTACGCACGTCATCACCCTGGATTCGTTGATCACGAACAATCCTCTTCTCCAAGGCATAGTCAATTCTGGTCTCAACCACATCCCCTGCATGACACTGGACGTGGACGAGGCGTTGAGCGAATTGGACTCCTTTCTTGGCGCACTCTTTGAATCGATAATGGAGCTGCGCGAGCTCACGGCCTCCACACAATCGTTTTTACGAAGAATCATCTTGAAGAAGGGGAAGGAGAATATGACGAAGTACCATGAAGTGCAAAGATACGTGGCCGCGGAACCTTTTGAACACCTAGCCGTCAAGCGGGAGATAAAGTTCATAACGGGCCGCTTTCTCATATGTCCGATGGACGAGGCTCCAAGCACTCCGGCTTTCGTATGCAATAATTTCATACGAAAGTTGGCCTTTCATAGATTGTCGGGCCCTGAATTCGCAAGCATCGCCGCTCCCCCTGATACTGTCATTGTGCGAATACGAGGAGAGTTTTCTGCTATGCCTGCACTCCCCACAGCCCCTGCGGCGCTCCCGTATCTCATGACGGTGTTCAAGGCACACAAGGGCTCGTTCCGGTGGATTACGAACACGGCCAACACGATCATCTCCCCTGTGGCGAAACTTTGCGCTTGCCTTTTGCGCTTCCTTCCCCCCTTAGTGCACGCGTTCTGTCAGGAGAGGAGCCTGGAAGTTTTGGAGCTGCATGGGGTCAAGCCTAACCTATGGTGGGCTATTGCCTCGGGGGGTGAGTACTGCGCGAATCTCCCATCTGAGGTCTACTCTGTCTTCATTGCCGATATCGCCAGGTGCTTCGAGATGAACCCCACAGATGATTCGGAGGACAGTCTCCCTGCGGCTGTCAAATTCTTCATACAGTGTGCAATGCGGGTCCGGCGAGAGAGGAGTTCGAGCCATGCTATACGAATCAGGGTAGGCGCAGATGGTGCCTTTTGGCCCTCGTGGACAGATGCTGGACAGCCGGAGGAATTGGGCTCATTACTATTCAAAGAGGAGGATATATATTGGCTCATAGAATGGTGCATTGCGAACAGCGTGCTACGCATGGGAGACCACGTGTGGAGGCAGGTGAGGGGTAGCCCTATGGGATTGGCATGCTCCCCAATTTGGTGTGATATATATTTCTTCAAGTATTAGTGTGTGTTTGCGTATGTTTGTGTCTGTGTTCGTGTGTGTGGAGGAAGGTGTATGCGTGTATGGTGTCCGAGGGACAACTAGGCCGAGAGGGCCGGTTGGTCTCCGGACTACCATCCCCTCGGACCCAGTCATCCCCCGGAGGGAACGGGGTGGGACACAAACACACACACACACACACACACACATGCATACAGGGATGGGGATATGCCAGGAGAAGGAGCGACCAATCAGAAGAAGGACGACTAATCCTACAAGGACTGGGGGAACTCGTGACCAGTTCATTTTTTTCTTTTTCTTTTTTTCCCTTTTTTTTTCTTTTTTTTCCCTTTTTTTCTTCTTTTTCCTTTTTCCCTTTTCTTTTTTCCTTTCCTTTCTTTTTTTTTTTCCCTTTTTTTTTTTTCCTTTTTTTCTTTCCTTTTTTTCTCTTTTTTTTTCCTCCTCTTTTTCCCCCTCGTTTTTCTTTTCTTTTCTTTTCTTTGCTTTGCTTTTCTTGTCCTTTCTTTTCCTTTCTTTTCTTCTAAATTTTTGTTCTTCCCTTTTTTTTTTTCTTTTTTTCCCTTTTTCTTTTCTCCTTCTTTTTTCACTATGAGGGAGTTGTGAATAATAATAAGCAAATGGGGGTGATGCTTGAATTTCTGCTCGCTAGCAACCTGAATGGTAGGGAGGTCCCCCCGCACGATTTAATCAGTAGGGAACGTACTATGGGAGTGGCTAGCTCCCAGACTATAGCCAGGACACGCGACTTAGGGGCACTTGGGGATAGATTGAGCCCTTGGACAGAGTCGGCCTATTTGCCCTTCCTATTTTGACTTTTCGTTTTCCTTTTTTTCTCTTTTTCTCTTTTTTTCTTTTTTTCTTTTCTTTTTCTTTTTTTTTCTCTTTTTTTATACCGTAGGATTACTACATCAAACGAGAGAACGAGAATGGTGGCTTCTAACCGAAGGATGTTATTCCTGGGGATGCGCTACGACTATATTAGTATAGGGCGAGAGAGGCACTATTGATCGGACCATCGGGCGAAAATTGCTTCTGACAAGCGGGTTGGGCACGACGCCTTCCAATTTCTGCGCTGCGGAAGGGGCTTGGGAGGAGCGAACGACATGGACTTCTTTGTGGAATGGGACCTGGGAGAGGAGCAACGGGACATGGAGGAAGTGGTAACACTATCGCCAGAGGACACTCTCACGCGACCTTGTGCCTAGACGTGCACCGGCCAAGCGTCATGGAGACCGACGCTTCCTGCCCCGCTGACCTCTTCCCGACCAGCCCTTGCCCCTCCACTCCTGCCCTGAACACAGCCGTAGCCCTTCTCCTTCTACTGGCCCTGCTGGCAAATCTTGCCATAGCCATCACACTCTTTGTCGCGTACCTTTCTGAGCCGGTCTTTCTCAGCCTACCTTCCAGGCGCTTCGCTATATTGATAGGGAGTACCATCTGTTTCGCCACACTCTTCCTTACGAGCTGCTGTTGCCTATTTTTTCAGCCCGGCGCTAATCGTGGGATGCGCAGTTAAGCAGGAGAAGTAATTGCGAGCAGCGAGCAGTGCGGCACTATGGAGTGAGGGACGGCAGCGAGGAACTCGCCGTGTGTTTTTTTATTTTTTTTAGCTTTTCTTTCCTTCCTTTCCTTTCCGTTCTTAATCTATTCCCTTCCCTACTCCCCTCCGCATATTTTTTCACCCCCTCAAACCCCCTCCTCCCATCCTCCGATTTTCCCTCCCCACCCAAGGAGTCATCCAACAACCCTGTCTCGTCGAACCCCCCCTCGCACACCTCCCCCTTCCTCTCCGCCTTCCAAAGACCATGGAAGTTGTCCCTCCCTCTGACGACGCCCCACGTGGCATGGGGCAGAAAAGCGCTTTAGGGACTTGCCACGCCCTTCCTGCAAATTCGGCGAGATGATCCGTGCGGAGTACAGAAGCACATCGGATCTGGAGGATACAGTTGAAGCAGGATTCTTCTTCTTCCCCCTCTTCTCCCTTTCCCCTCCTTTATTTCATTCTCCCCGTCTTCATTCCCCCCGTTCTCTTTACCCTTCATTGGAACTATGAGCACGATGAGGTTGTTTTGGCGTGTATCACTTTTTTCGAGTAAGGATACGTACCGTTTCTTTTTTGTAATAACGATCGGTCTTCTATCAATGGGAGTGTGGATTTTTAGGATTTCATCGTGTCATCCCCCTCGATGCATGCGTACTTTGTCCTCTTAAGTTTCACATGGTCGTGTGAATCTTCTCGCTCCCTCTCTACCAAAAAAGGGGGGGGGTCATCCCGACTTATTTCTCTCCTTCCTATTGCCCACCTTTTTATGAGTATCGTATTCCCCTATTTAATCTTATCACATGAAAATGGATTCTGCTAACGGACTATTCCCAATTTGTTGAGAACGCGATCGCTATGGATGATGCTTTTTACTGAATTGAGTATCTTGTTTTTACGTGAATTTTTCAAAAAAAGGAAGGGTAGCTCCGTCTTCCCGGCACACTCATAGCTACCCTAGACTCAGACAACTTTATGCTCCCCCACCACCATTGGACACTCGAAATGGTTATACCCTGCGGCACTGTTGTATCGACCCCACAACCTGCCCACCGCTCGCAATATGCCGACATCACGGTCGGAGTAGTGCGAGTTTGGCGTGTCGCACTCATACACAGCTCATGCAACACACACATACCCCCCCTCCCGACTTATTTCTCTCCTTCCTATTCCCTTTGTTATGAGTGTCGTATTCCCCTCTTTAATCTTACCACATGGAAATGGATTCTACCGAGTATACCGATACCTGTGAATGGGTTATTCTTAACTTTTTTTGAAAACACAATCGCTATGGATGGTGTTTTTTGTTGAATTGATTGTGTTATTTTCGCCTGATTTTTTAATAAAAGGAAGGGTATCTCCGCCTTCCCGATCTCGTCTCACCACCTTCGCACTCATGGCTACCCTCGACTTAAACAGCTTTGTGCCTCCCCACCACCATTAGACGCTCAATATGGTTATACCCTGCCGCGCTGATGTATCATCCCCGTGACCTTCTCATCGCTCACAGTGTGCCGGCATACCCTGTCGGAGTAGTGCGAGTATAACGTTGTGAGGAAACCCGGGGAGAGCTACCTGTTGCTCGCTGAAGCCAAGGGCTACGGCGCCTGTCACTCGCCGCGCCCGCTTCAGAGGTCCTCAGCGACCGACAGGGTGTTGGGACTTATTATCATCTGTTGCCCCTGCTCGCAGAAACGCTTTAGTCTAGCGTTATCAAATCATAATTCTCTTGTGTAATTTTGTTCAATGAGTACTTCCCCCTTTTCTGGGGTCAGAGTCAGATGTAGAATGAGCCTGATCATGAGGGTTGACTGTTTTGCCTCTAGGATACAGAAAGGGAATAGTTCATTCCACACACTCGATTTGCTGAGAGCCAGCGAGCCAAATCAACAGGCTCGATCAGATGTCCAGCGGACCAATGAACAGGTCCGATTTTCAAAGAGCAAACGGACCACTCAACAGGCTTGATTTGTAGAGAGCCAGCAGTAATGATGATCTCCTGCCAGCAGCAGGGGTTGATTCTACTCTCTCGTTCTCTCTCTCTCTCCTTCCCGCTGTTCTCTCTCGCCGTTCTCTCCCTGTTTTTTTTTTTTTCTTTTTTTTTTTTT